AAGACTGATGAAAATATAATCAGGCACATGGAGGATGAACTTGACATTTTTGAGGAAAATGAGAAGGAAAAGATCTAAAAAGAATTAGAACTTGTAGAACACAGGGACCATGACATTTTCACTTCTATTTTTGAGCAGTGTGCTGGCGCTCAGCACAGATCATGTCTGTGGAATATAATACCTTGTACGGTTTTCCCCAAGTAATCACCACGCCTCTCTTTATTGATGACATGCTGATATATCTTCCCGGTGGTGATGTTGTTGTCTTTATACAGATTAATATCCAAAAATCTCTCATAATTTCCAAGATCTAAATCAACTTCTCCACCATCATTTAAGACGAACACTTCACCTAGGATTAAAAGGAGATGTAAAAATTAAAAATTTGCTCCCAATAGATTATTTTTCAAAGATGGACACATTTTTATTAAGGAGGTAGCAAAAGATGTATTTATAAACCATATTCTGTCACCATCTCCTTATTTTGATGGGGAAATTTAACAATTCAATTCTACCCATGAAAATACATCAGAAAAATTCTGGTATGCTATTTATCATGGTATGTTTTTTAATCCTATTGAAATTCTGTCCTCAAGATTTAGCTTTTCCAAACTCATCATATGCAACATGAAAAAAGGACTTTAAAAGAGCAATTTTAAAAACAAATAGCAATTTCTTTCAAAGCATCGGTATCCTGGGGTCTGGAAGTGGCATACGGAAGTTCTGCTCGATTCCCATCTTGGTTAAAGCCACAGTTAGACAGTAGATGGCAAAGCAGGGCCACAGTTAACCCATGGGGCAACCTGGTGAAAGGGAGGGAAAAAGCCAGTATGTGCCATAAGCCACCGGCACTGTGATAAAGGACATAAGTGTAGACTTCATCACATAAGGAGCACCCACCTTGACTACTGGGCACATCTCTAGATCTCTATTGTCACTTGAGGGCACTGACCAGAGTTGAATGCTCCAAAGCCACCTCCTAAGTCTCTAACCTCTCCCTGATTAAGAAAACAATATCATTTACTCCTACTGCTAGATGTTCACAGCAAAAAAGAAGGCTGACTAGCTTACAAATTTAATCAGAAATCTTTTATACCCTCATTTATGTCTCCCTTATAAGTTATGTAACTGTGGTCTGGAAGATTAACTTTAAGGACACAAGAGCAAATTGATGGCCAGGTGCGGTGGCTCACGCCTGTAATCCTAGCACTCTGAGGCCAAGGCAGTAGGATTGAGTGAGGCCAGGAGTTCAAGACCAGCCTAAACAAGAGAGAGACCCCGTCTCTACTAAAAATAGAAAAAATTAGCCGGGCGTGATGGTGCATGCCCATAGTCGCAGCTGCTTGGTAGGCTGAGGATTGCCTGGGCCCAGGAGTTGAAGGTTGCAGTGAGCTATGATGATGCCATTGTACTCTAGCCCAGGTGACAGAGACTTTGTCTCCAAAAAAAAAAAAAAGCTCACGCCTGTAATCCTAGCTCTCTGGGAGGCCGAGGCGGGCGGATTGTTTGAGCTCAGGAGTTCGAGACCAGCCTGAGCAAGAGCGAGACCCCGTCTCTACTAAAAATAGAAAGAAATTAATCGGACAACTAAAAATATATAGAAAAAACTAGCCGGGCATGGTGGCGCATGCCTGTAGTCCCAGCTACTCGGGAGGCTGAGGCAGAAGGATCGCTTGAGTCCAGGAGTTTGAGGTTGCTGTGAGCTAGGCTGACGCCACGGCACTCTAGCCTGGGCAACACAGTGAGACTCTGTCTCAAAAAAAAAAAGAAAAAAGTTGACATTTATAATAGTTATTCCAGGCAGTGAGAAATGTTAAGAGATACACATTACCTTCATGATAAAATAAAACAAAACAAAACCCACGTGCAAAAGGTACAATATTTCCAAAAGAGTTGACTAATTTGTAACGTCAGCGATCTGAACAATGTATCAATGACCACAAGAACATTCACATATTCACAAAGTAGGATCCAGCAACACACTTCTGGAACTACATCCTAATGAAATTACCCAAAAGACAAGAACTGCAGTCTAACCTAGTACTATAAGGGGGAAGTAGTTTTCTTTCATACCATGTTCATAAGGTGAAAAAGTGCCGGCGTCGATGTTAATATAGGGGTCGATTTTGATGGCAGTAACTCGGAGTCCACATGATTTCAGAATCGTCCCAATGCTGCTCGCGATGATCCCTTTACCAATGCCTGAGATGACTCCACCTGTGACCAGAATGTACTTCATTGGCAGAAGAGTGGCTGGGTGCCAGCACCCAGATACAACCTGAAAGGCAATACAATTAAGAGTCAGGGAAGAGAAACATTTTCATAAAGCAGAGAGTGCATTAAATGAGAATTTCAAAAGCACACAGCATTTTTCTATCTAAACTAAATACTTGGCCAGGCATGGTGGCTCACGCCTGTAATCCTAGCACTTTGGGAGGCCAAGGCAGGAGGATCACTTGAGGCCAGGAGTTCGAGACCAGCCTGAACAAGAGCAACACCATCTCTATAAAAAAAAAAAAAAAAAATAGAAAAATTAACCAGGCCTTGGCGTGCACCTATAGTCCCAACTACTCAGGAGGCTGAGGAAGATCACTTGAGCCAAGGAGTTTGAGGTTGCAGTGAGCTACGATGATGCCACAGCACTCTAGCCTGGGCAACAGAGCAAGACCCTGTCTCAAAAACAAAACAAAGCAATCAAACAGAAAATTAAACTAAATACTTGAACCTTTTGAAATGAAGTCTTATCTTCTAGGCATCTAATTTTTGTCACTATACAGAAAGATGTGGATATTTTCTGCAAGCAAAGTGCCTGGCTCTATTGCCCTGGCTTTCCCAAATGTGTCATGCAACAAAAACAAACTTTATCATGAGAAACCAGATTTCTCTAGAATTCAGAGGCAAGCTAAAATGTTTAAGAATTCAGACTCTGGGCCAGGCATGGTGGCTCACGCCTGTAATCCCAGCACTTTGAGAGGTCAAGGCAGGAGAATCACTTAAACTCAGGAGTTTGAGGCAGCATGCAGTGAGCTATGATGCCACCACTGCACTCCAGCTTGAGTGACAGAGTAAGACCGTGTGTCTTAAACGAAAAAAAAAGGAGAAAAAGAGAGAGAGAACTCAGACTGGAGTCAAATCTGTACAAACTACCTGGGCAAGTTCTTTATCCTTTCTGTGCCCGTTTCTTCACCTGGAAAGTGGAATAAAGATACCAATCCCTTGTAGCCAGGCACGGTGGCACACAACCATAGTCCCAACTACTTGGGAGGCTGAAGCAGGAGAATTACTTGAGCCCAGAAGTTTGAATCCAGCCTGGGCAACACAGCAAGACCCCTGTCTCAAAAAAAAAAATCGTTTAGAATATTATTCAACGCTAAAAAGAAACGGGCCTGAGGCCAGCCTGAGCAAGAGTGAGACTCCATTTCTACTAAAAATAGAAAAAATTAGCCAGGTGTGGTGGTGCGTGCCTGTAGTCCCAGCTACTTGGGAGGCTGAGGCAAGAGAATCACTTCAGCCCAGGAGTTTGACATTGCTGTGAGCTAGGCTGATGCCAGGGCACTCTAGCCCAGGTGACAGAGCGAGACTCTGTCTCAAAAAAAGAAATGGGCCATGAAGCCACAAAAAGACATGGAGGAATCTTAAATGCATATTACCAAGTGAAAGAAGCCAATCTGAAAAAGCTACAAACTGTATAACTCCAACTATACAACATTTTGCAAAAGACAAAGCGACAGAGAGAGTAAAAGGATCAGTGCCTGCCCGGTAGGAGAGAGGGCGGGATGAAGAGATAGCACAAAGGATTTTTAGGGCAGTGAGACTACTCTGTACCATACTGTAATGGTAGATACATGTCGATTAAACATTTATCAAGACCCATAGAATGGACAACACAAAAGAGTGAACCCTGATGTAAATAAACTATGGACTTTGCGGGATAATGATGCATCGCTGTAGGTTCACCGATTGTATAATAATAAATGTACCACTCTGGTGCAGATGTAGTGGGCGGGCTGGGTGTGGCAGGTTGGGGGGTGGGGACCAGGAGGTATATGGAAACCATGTACTTCCTGGTCAGTTTTGCTATGAATGTAAAATTGCTCTAACAAATAAAGTCATTTTTTTCTAAAAAAAAAAAAATCAATATTCAAATATGCCAACATTTTTAAAAAGCTACCAGACTCAATAACTGATTATGAGGAATAAATGATCACATAAATCATGACTGTGGGATCAGCAAACCATGGCGCACAGGTCAAAGCTATTTTTGTATGGTTTTAAAGCTACAATTTTAAATGATTGAAAAAAGATGAAAAGAAGAATATTTCCTGACACATGAAAACTGTGTGAAACTCAAATTTCCGTTCCGTGAATCAGGTTCTGTGGGCACACAGCCTGGTCCATTCGCTTACATATTGTCTGAGGCTGCTTTCCTGCCACAGTGGCACAGTTGAGCAGAGACTTTCTAACCCACAAAGCCTGAAATGTTTACTATCTAGCCTTTTACAGAAAATGTTTTCTGACCCCTGGTATAGAGGGTGGCACATAGTAAGGCCTTAATAAAAGTTAGCTATTAGCACCATTATTAATAATAATGGGCCAGGCGCGGTGGCTCACACCTGTAATCCTAGCACTCTGGGAGGCCCAGGCAGGCGGATCACTTGAACTCAGGAGTTCCAGACCAGCCTGAGCAAGAGTGAGACCCCAACTCCACTAAAAATAGAAAAAATTAGCCAGGCATGGTGGCGCATGCCTGTAGTCCCAGCTACTAGGGAGGCTGAGGCAGGAGGATCACTTGAGCCCAGGAGTTGGAGGTTGCAGTGAGCTATGATGAAGCCACTGCACTCTAGCCCAGGCAACAGAGCAAGACTCTGTCTCAAAAATAATAATAATAACGTATCCTTCTTCTTTTTTTTTTTTTAAGAGATGGAGTTTTGCTCTATCACCTAATCTGGAGTGCAAAAGCATGATCATAGCTCAATGCAGCCTCAAACTCCTGGGCTCAAATGATCCTCTCTCTTCCCTCAGCTGGAACTATAGGGGCACACCACCACATCCAGCTTTTTTTTTTTTTTTTTTGAGACAGAATCTTTCTCTGTTGCCTGAGCTAGAGTGCCCTGGTGTCAGCATAGCTCACTGCAACCTCAAACTCCTGATCTCATATTTTTCTGCCTTGGCCTCCCAGAGTGCTAGGATTACAGGAGTGACCCACCATGTCTGGCCTCAGGCTAATTTTTTTAAAAATACTTTTTTAGGGACTTTGTCTCACTATATTGCCCAGGCTGTTCCCAAACTTCTGGCCTCAACAATCCTCTGGCCTGGGCCTGCCAAAAGGCTGGGATTACAGGTGTGAGCCACTGTGCCCAGCCTAATAAGTGTACCTTTCTTAACTAAGCTTGCCAAACACTGAATCTTTTTCTTTACCCGGTAGTTTTACCATTTAAGCATATCCAAGCAGGAAAAAAATATTCCATCTTAAGGAAATTGTATTTGCCTCTTCTGCTGCCGTCTAATTCAAACCCTTTTGTTTTACAGGAAGCCCAATAACTTCTTGATTTTTTTTTGAATACTCTTGTTTTTCCCTTGAGTGTGTACGGGGGCCTTTTGCTCTTGTAATTTCACTATGTACATGAAAGTAGGCCCTTAACAGTATTATATGTGTATTTGTGTAGTCATGGCAGGCAAATGGGCAATTAAGACCGATAATATAAAATTACAGCTGCAGAGATAGAGAAAGAAGAGAAACTAACAAAAGCTAATAATTATAAATGCCATTTTCAATTATAATTCACAAATTTTTTAAAGTACTTGGAAATTAAACACAAATGCATTCAGGTAGGAGAGATTTCAGCTAACCATTTCTTTTCTGTCCTCCTCAAAGGAATGCCCATTCTAATTTTGTAGTTTCCTCTGCTTGTCTTCCAAAAGGAACTATCTTAACTTAAAGGTATAAAGTTGTCTCACTTCAGAGCTGTGAGTTCAGTTGGAACTAGCTGACCGTGGTCAGGGTGAGTAAACTTAAGCTATCCAAAATACACATGTCCCGTCCCGAACGGCCTCCCTAAGTCCCCGGGCCTGCCTTTCTCTACACAACAGTTGATCACGATCAGTGTCATTGCCCCTCCACTAGCCGCCTGGCCACTCACTTACCCAAGCTGTATTTATAGCCTTAAAGATTCTCAATCCAAACCCAAACCACTCCTCCTGGAGATCTAAAATGTATCTGAATATTCATCTTTTTCCACTCTTACTGGCCCAAGTAGTCACCAAGGTGATGATTTCTTCACAGCCCTACCTTACTCATCCCACTGTTGAAAATTTGTTCAATTTCGATAAGTGCCTGTCCTTGAGAGTCAGACAGCTTGGGTTCGAATCTTGACTCTGCACTCACAGCTATGACCCTAGACAAATTCTTCAATTGCTCAAAACCTTAATTTTCTAAATCCGTGCAGTACACATGGATGATAGTAACTACCTCAGAGAGCTGTGTGGGGATTTACAGAATAAGTGCTAAATTAAGGTTGGCTATTATCATTTTTCAGAGCTGCCTACTCACTGATTCAGTCAGCTCACAACCGTTTATTGAACATCTATTATGTGCTTAACATGTTCCCAGGTCCTGAGAATATAAGGATGAACGAAAAGTCAAAGTCCCTGCCCTCTTGGACTTCACCTTTCCTGTGGGATTAAGGGGCAAATAAATTGCACTCTAATTATACCTTATTCCCGCACTGTCATCCTGTTCAAATGACTCCCCATTTATAAAAGTTAGCAAAATTGCGAAATGCCATAGAGCTATGATCAAGAAAACTGGAGTACCTTCGTGTGAAGTCACATTATGCCTAAGAATTTTCATATAAGCAAATGCTTACATTACACGAAAAAAAGGACACAAAATTGAATATATGATTATGCTCTTTTAATTAAGATCAAAATCACACTATGTTAAATTTTAATATATTGGGGGGCAAGGACAACATACATAACCTAAACATCTGTACCCCCATAATATGCTGGAATAATAAAAAAAATTAATATATTTAGGTGATTGGGTTGCAGGTGTCGGGACATAGAAAACAGGACCCCAAAATGAAGGCCTTAGAAGCAAAATTTCTGACCTTCTCTTGCCCTCCAGTCTCAAGCCCTTCAGTCTCCCGCAAGCCAAGTAATAGAAACTGGAAGTCCTCTTCCCCAAGGCAGTTCATAGAAAATAGAACCCCTTTCCCTGCAAAGCCAGCCATAAAGCCAAAAAATATGACTCTAACCTCTCCCTCCCCTCACCTTTCTGTGTAACAGCTGGCCATGAAGAAATTAAGACCCTCATTCCAGAGGCATCCTACCCATACCTGGAAGGAAGAATAATGCTACAACAGAGAGGACAAGACGAATCTGGACAGGCCTTGCTAGTTTTCCCCACTCAGTCTATTTCCAGTAGCTCATCTGTCCCTGCTTCATGGAACCTAAGTGTAAAATCAGATAGTTTCCCCTCTACCTTTGGGTCTCCATTCGGAAGGCTCCCATGGCATGTAAAACTGTGATTAAATAAATCTGCTATGCTTTTCTCTTGTTAACTTGTGTTTTGTTATAGAGCTGTCAGCTGGGACTCTAATGATGGGTGAGGAAAGGTATCACCTCCTTTCCCCACCTACATACGTAATCATTAGTTTTCTGTATTTTCAAAAATACAGCACATTAGCTACTTTAGGAAGTCCTTTTTTAAAAATGTAACTTAATACCAAGGAGACACCTAAGCCTTTCTACTTATTTTAAGCAAACAAGTTTGAAATGAAAATTTAAAAGTGCAGGAAATGGGTCCGGTGTGGTGGCTCATGCCTGTAATCCTAGTACAGAGGCCAGAGGATCGCTTCAGGCCAGCAGTTTGACACCAGCCTGAGCAACACAGGGAGACCCTGACTCTACAAAAAAGTAGAAAAATTAGACGGGGCCGGGCGCGGTGGCTCACACCTGTAATCCTAGGACTCTGGGAGGCCGAGGTGGGAGGATCACTCGAGGTCAGGAGTTCGAGACCACTCTGAGCAAGAGCGAGACCCCCGTCCCTACTATACATAGAAAGAAATTAGCCAAACAACTAAAAATAGAAAAAATTAGCCAGGCACAGTGGCTGTAGTCCCAGCTACCCGAGAGGCTGAGGCAGGAGGATCGCTTGAGCCCAGGAGTTTGAGGTTGCTGTGAGCTAGGCTGACAGCAGGCACTCTCGCCCAGGCAAGAGAGTGAGACTGTCTCAAAAAAAAAAAAAAAAAATTAGACGGGCGTAGTGGCACACACCCATAGTCCCAGCTACTCAGGAGGCTGAGGCAGGAGGATGGCTTGAGCCCAGGAGTTTGAGGCTGCAGTGAGCTACAATGACACCACTGCACTCTACCCAGGGCAATAGAGTGAGACTCCGTCTCAAAAAAAAAAAAAAAAAAAAGCAACGAATTTCGAAACAAAGTGGAGTTTTTCCCCACCAAGGATGAAAGAGCAAAGTCGTGGAGGAAGCAGTAAGGAGTTTGGGATGCCAACTTCCGGGAAAACACGCAGAGGCTTCACTCAGCTGGGCGTCCTTCAGGGAGGCCCAGTTGTGGGGTCTCCATTGGAAAAATAAAAAAGAGGAAATGCCTTGTCAAAAGGCTGGAGAAGTTTGTTAATGAAACAAGTCTTCCAGAGGGCCCAGTAGGGGGGATGTTTGTGAAAAGGGTTGGTATGGATGGTGATGCTTAACTTAATACCTGCTGCATTTGTGAGGTTGCCTCCAGCATTCCCGCCTTCCATTTCCTTTTTACAACCTGGACAGTTATTATGATCCCCTTTTTAGAATGAGGAACCTGAGGCTCAGAGATGTGAAATGTCTTGACCAAGGATACGTTAGTGAATCTGAGTGGCAAAGCCAGGACATCAACACACAGCCCGACTCTGCACGACAGGATGTGGGGCCTCATCCAATTATCTTACTCCATTCATCTATGAGGCTAATGGATGAAAGATATTCTGTAAATACAAAGGGGTCATTGTAACAATTAGTGTATTATTAATCCCAAATGGAAAAAATAATGAGCAGAGAAACAAACTTGGTAACAGGGCGCAGCTTGACTAAATTGTGTGGAATAAGGGTGTGTCCTCATTGGACAAGTTTTTATCCCTGGCCTACATCCAGCATAACATTTTGCTGGATCCTCGAGATGATTTTTAAAAAGGAAAAGGAAACCAATCATTAAAGTCGATTGTTTATGTTCTTTTATAACCTTTTTTATTTTGCTGAATGGGCTGGGCCAGCACTGTACTCCTTTTGCAGGTGAGGAAACTTGAAGGGTGAAAAGGATGAATAAAAAGTCAAGTTTATTCACCTACCAGATGGTGGAGATAGAACCCCCATCCTAGGCTTCTCACTCAAATTCTAGGCTCTTTCCAATCATACTTAAAACAAATATCCTTTTCTGGAAAGTGTCAACCACTTTGAAGTTCTCACTGACTTAATAAACTCTAGAAAGGCATTGGTCCTAAGACATCTTCAGACTTTCAAAGCTGAATCAATACTCGGACTCTAAAAACAGGGTGGAATGTCATTAATGCCACTGCATTAACTTAAAAATGGTTAAAATGGCAAATTTATGTCACATATGTTTACCACAATATCAAATTTAGTAGTGTAATATATCAAAAATATATACCATTGAATTGTACACTTTAAACAGGTGAATTGTAAAATATGTGAATTATATCCTAATAAAGCTGTTTGGGGGAAATAAACAGGTTGGGCTTGTTAAGCTAAAATCCTGGACTTGAGGCCAGGCGCGGTGGCTCACACCTGTAATCCTAGCACTCTGGGAGGCCGAGGCGGGCGGATTGTTTGAGCTCAGGAGTTTGAGACCAGCCTGAGCAAGAGCGAGACCCCGTCTCTACTAAAAATAGAAAGAAATTAATTGGACAACTAAAAATATATAAAAAAAAATTAGCCGGGCATGGTGGCGCATGCCTGTAGTCCCAGCTCCTCGGGAGGCTGAGGCAGAAGGATCACTTGGGCCCAGGAGTTTGAGGTTGCTGTGAGCTAGGCTGACGCCATGGCACTCCAGTCTGTGCCACAGAACAAGACCCAGTCTCCAAAAAAAAAAAAAAAAATCCTGGACTTGAATAAAATGCAAATATAGGTCGGGCCGGAAAACTGGACAGCAGGGAAATCAGAATTGTAATCACCTCCCCATGTACTCCCCCAGGTCACTGGAACTGTCCTACTCTTCTCAAAATCGTTGGGGAGTGGGGGAAGGAATCAAGAGTGTCCTTCCACAACAGGTCACGGAAATTGTGCTTAGGAAATGTGTTCATGAACTCCCCACGCTGAAGCGGTAGTTGTTCATATAGCCAGTTTTTTTGTTTTTTTACATGTTATTGAGGAAAAAATTAAAAATATAGAAAAGTAGACATCGAAATGTAATCACCCAGCTTCAACAACCCATGGTCAGTCTTGTTTCATCTATATCCCCACACATTTCCCCCCATCCTGTATTAATTTTAAGCACATTGCAGACACGTTATCATTTATTTGGTAAATATCTCAATGTGACTCTCTGAAGGATAAGAATTCCTTTAAACACAGACACACACACATAAAATACCATTACTACAATTTAAAAATTAACAATTCTGGCCGGTGGCAGTGGCTCACGACTGTAATCCTACCACTTTGGGAGGCTGAGGCAGGAGAATTGCTTGAGGCCAGGAGTTCAAGACCAGCCTGAGCAAGAGTGAGACTCCCCCAAAATTAGAAAAAATTAGCTGGGCATGGTGGTGTGGGCTGGTAGTCCCAGCTACTCAGGAGGCTGAGGCAGGAAGATTGCTTGAGCACAGGAGTTGGAGGTTGCAGTGAGCACAGGAGTTGGAGGTTGCAGTGAGCTAGGCTGACACCATGACACTCTAGCCTGGGTGACAGACCAAGACTCTGTCTTAAAAAAAAAAAAATTAACAATTTCTATATCTATCCACTTATGAATGGATTAACAAAATATGGTATGTACAAACAATGGAATACTATTCAGCCTTAAAAAGAAGAAAAGAAATTGACATGCTAGAACTCAGATGAGCCTTAAGAAGCCAGTCACAAAAGGCAAATACTGAATGATTTCACTTATACCAGCGGTCCCCAACCTTTTTGGCACCAGGGACCGGTTTCATGGAAGACAAGTTTTCCATGGAACAGGCGTGTTTGGGGGGGTTACCGGGGGAGCTCTGTGGCCAGCCTAACAGGCCAGGGACTGGGGGTTGGGGACCACAGACTTATACCAGGTATCTAAAGCAGTCTAATCCATGGAGACAGAAAGTACAATGATGGTTGCCAAGGGCCAAGGTGAGAGGGAGGCAAGAATGGAGAGTTATTTAATAGTTTCAGTTTTGCAAGATGAAAAGAGTTCTGGAAATTGGTTGCACAGCAATATGAATGTACTTAACATAAGTGAATCATACGCTTAAAAATGATTAAGATGCTAAATTTTATGTTAAGATGGTAAATTTTGTGTATTTTACAATTAAAAATATTTGTAATTTCACGATTCCTTAATTTCGTCAACTATCCAGTGTCCAAATTTCCAATTCTTGTACGTGTCATACTTTTGTTCCCAATGCGTTTACTGAATTAGGATCCTAATTAAATGTATGAGTGGCTGTGGGTTACCTTTCTTAAGCCTTTTTTTAATGAATGGGTTCCCCACCCCACCCCTCTTCCTTGCTATTTATTTGCAGAAATAAGGTGGTCTGTCCTATTGTTTCTCATAGTCTAGATTCTGCTGACAGCATCCCATGGTGTTAACGCCTTCCTCTGCCCTCTGTATTTCCTGTAAATTGGACTCGGATGCCTTGTGTTAGTTTTGATTTGGGCTCAGGAGGAGGCTAAAGACATCCATTTCCGCGGGAGCCCGGCTCAGCTGGACCTGAAAAGGCAAGGCTAAGTCACTAGCCAAGCTGCTCAGAGGCAGTCATAAAATGAGACTGGGTAGGGCTGTGACAAAGACGCTGTTCACACGCCTCGGTCAGTCATCCACCTACAAAGCAGGGAAAGAGGCAAAGAGACGGGGCGGAGCTACGCGGGGAAAGCCCTTTGTCCCCTTTCCACGCGTACGAGGAATCCGTCACAATCCACGTAGGCAGGGGCAGAGCCTTTGGACGGAAGTGATGCACGCGCGGCCGGCGGCAGAAGCGTCACAAAGGCGGGGAAACGGCTGGACGGACTGCGCCGGCGTCTCTCTGATTTCCGGCCATCTACCTGGGTGACCCGCAGAGTAGAGCCCGAGGCGGGGAGCTGCAGCTGGGGTCTCCGGTGACCGGGACCGCGGCGGCGGCCCCGCAGGCGGGATGTTTCGGGATTTCAGCGTTTGGTTGGGCTTGCAGCAGCCGGCGGCAGGCGGTGGGCAGTCCGAGGGAGAATGGCAAGCCAAGCAAGACGCTCCAGCCGAGCAGCAATCCGAGACGGTGGCGGAGCCCGCGGAGGAGGAGCGGGAGGAAGCGGGGGACCGGCAGCTCCTCCACCAGGCCAAAGGCCTGGGCAGTGAGTGTCCCCTGGACAGCGGGGGGTTGGGGGCGCACTCCTCCCCTACGACATCCCCGGGGCGCTGGCCGGGGTTTGGGGGGCGTCGTGTGGGATGAGAGGCAGGGGAGGAAGGTGTGTCTGTGTAGGTCAGTCCTCTCCGGGTTGGGAGAGATTAGTGAGGATCTGGGCAAGGCTGAAGCTTCACGTAGCAGTCAAGTCCTTTCCCTGAAGTTCTTGGTGACAAGTCACTCTTTGCAAAGTTTGTAAACATTGGAAGCAGGTCCACAGGAAAGCGGTGTGGTCCGACGTCCTCGGGTTGGACAAGGAATCTTTTTTGTTCAACTCGCAAACTTTCACCTTCGCCCCCACCCGCCAGGACCGGGAACGTTGGCGAGCTTCGGTTGCTTAGAAAGTGCTTTTGGGGCAAACATGTTGTTCCAAGTAAATTGACAGATACTGAATGTCCTTCCTGGTCTTCTGCTTTTTAGGTACAGAAGGACCTTTTTCCTTAAGGTGGGAGAGGAGATGCCAATTGCCTGCTGTGTGCAGGTTGCAGTACCAGATGTGTTATGATACCTCATTTCATCTGTTAAACACCCCCAATGAACTGGGGGAACAAGCCCAGAGTTACTGAGCCAAAGTTATAGTAAGTGGTAGAAGTGGAATTTGAAACTAGATCCATCTAATTTCAAAGCCCATGCTCTTTCTGAGTTTATAGTCTAGTTAAAGAAAGGGGAAAATAATAGGCATGAAGAATATAAACACATGCTGTAGTACTCTGATTCTGAAGAGACCTTGGTGGGCTTCAGTAGTCACAGTGTCTTTGAGGAAGTGTGCCCTAAAGCAGACCAGCATTACAAGTGAGAGAACTGCAGCAAGGGTAGATATTAAATTTAGCAAGTATTTTTAAAGAATCTGCTAAAGAGATAAAGGGGAATAATGGGGGAAGAGAGAAGCCTCAGAGTGGAGAAACACATATTTGAATAAGAAAGGCCCTGACATCCAAAAAGTATACAGTGCGCAGAGGGACAGGTAAAACAGACATAATCTCAAATCAAAGCAGTGCATAATCTCAGCCCAAGGCCCCCAAATAGTGCACAAGAAAAAGAAAACTAAGTGCTATGCAATAAAATCACTAAAAAGGGAATGACTGTTTCTCATGTAGAAAACTGGGAAGGGATGAACTTGGAATATTCAAGACGTGTGGAGATGAATTTGACTAGAGCTGAGAGACACGTTAGGTAGTTGGGATAGATAAGATTGGGACTCCGTTAGGAAAAGCAAGATAGAGGTGTTTACTTCATAGAAAACAGCCATTTTCATTTATCATGGGAATATCAAAAGTGGCTTCTTGGCCGGGCGCAGTGGCTCACGCCTGTAATCCTAGCTCTCTGGGAGGCCGAGGCGGGAGGATTGCTTGAGCTCAGGAGTTCGAGACCAGCCTGAGCAAGAGCGAGACCCCATCTCTACTAAAAATAGAAAGAAACTATATGGACAACTAAAAAAATAATTAGCCAGTCATGGTGGTGCATGCCTGTAGTCCCAGCTACTCAGGAGGCTGAGGCAGGAGGATCGCTTGAGCCCAGGAGCTTGAGGTTGCTGTGAGCTAGGCTGACACCATGACACTCTAGCCTGGGTGACAGAGTGAGACTCTGTCTCAAAAAAAAAAAAGAAAAAGAAAAAAAAAGTGGCTTCTTAAAACTTAGAGCTTTATCGTCAACTTGAAACCTCGTGTTTGTATTTAGTAATAAAGACCTCTGAATATTTTCTAATAAATGCAATTTTTATATGGATATCTACTTTGAAGCTAATGCTGCCATCTTTCTTTCCTCAGCAATTCTCTTTTGATATTTGGGAAGGCTGTAGTTAGATGGAAGAACCCTTTTGTTTCTGAAATTTATGTGATTTTAGAAAGGTGTAAAGGTTCTAATTCATATACAAACTTTGAGAGAGACAAGAGAGATAATTTTTTTTATTTCTACATAATGATCCTAAGAGATATATTAGCTTTAAGAAAACCTATCTATGTTTTGAAAACTGAAATTAAACGTCTCTGAACCTGACTCCCAGAGGAGATGAGTTTCTTCAGTCTTTGGAAATCTGCATGGAATCTCCTAGGAACCCATTTGTTCTACAAACACTTGTTGAGTGCCTGCCTTCAAGACTGGACCCTAAATACTTCCTGGTTTGTGGTGACCTATTATTTATAAATTTAGGCAACTCACCAGTTACCTGTGGTGGACACTCCGGCCTACATTCCACTCCCTCACCCAAAACCAAGCCTTCTGATCCTTGGCCCTCCCTCCTGATAGACTTATGACCTATGATCACTGCCTCCAAAGGAAGCAACAGTTTATACTGGGAAACTAGCCTAAGACCTCCTCCCTACTGCCTCCCTGAAGGCCCCATGCCCCAAAGTATCTTTTCTTATCCAGGGCAAATTCGTTTGTTGGTGTTTGTTAAAGTCAACCAAATCAGAGCTTTATCTGTACTCTTTCTTAAAAAACAAACAAACAAAAACCTGTCCCTCTGGGAGTGTTAAATACCTGAGTCATTAACACAGTTTACATCAAGGGAAGGGTGGCCAAAGATGAGCTTTGGCTTTTTCAAAACCATCCCTAAGACCCGTCCATGCCCAGGAATGGAGGAAGGGCCGTCTCCTCTTCCCTCTCCTTTTAAAAGTACTATGCTGTGAAACTATGTTAATTAGGCCATCATCCTTTTTTTCTATAGGGAAAATATATTCCAAGTTCCTGGTGCCTAACTTGGAAACTAAGAGGGCTCCAAAAGTTAGTGTGTATGTAGGAAAGTGTGGGTCTGCTTTAAGGTAAAACTAAAATATCTAATTGAGTTGTGATGACAAACTCAGGTTTACAATGCAAGCGGTCAATGGCTTGCATCCTCATGGCTTATGAACAATATGGAAATGGTGAGAACCCTCCCAAAATCCAAGTTCCTAGATGCCAGCCAGTGGCCAGCCCTTCTAAGGACAGTGGTTCTCAGGCCTGCCATGTTAACTCTTTTCTGTAGAATTTCCAAGATGTCTACAGATGGGAGGTTCCAGGGTTGGTTCCATGGCTTAACAATGTGATCAGGGAACCAATCTCTTCCTGCTCTTCCTCTCCTTCATTCACAGTGAGTTGGTGTTCACCCTCAGGGTGGTCACTTCAGGCTCACAAGGCAACAACTGCAGCACAAAGGGAGGAAGGAGACTCTCCCTGCAGCTCCCTTTTTATTAGGAAGAAAAATCTTTCCCAGATGCCACCTTGCAAGTGTCCCCTTAAGTCTTTTTGGCCAGAGCTGTCACATGGCTTTTCTAAGCTTCAGAGGACTCTTAGAAAGCAAGTATCTGGCAGACATCCTGGAAGAGGCGGTGCCATCACCTTGGTTAGTGTACACTTGTCAAGGTTCATTCTCTGAGGCTGGTCACATAGGCACCCATCAAAATTGGGGTGGTTTTGGCAAGGAGGAAGGAGATAGCCTATTAGCTAGGCAGTCAGCAAGGTCTGCCCCTATCATATTGGCCAAATCGTTTTTCCTCTGTGAGCCTCAGCTTCCCTTTCTGTGAACTGGGCAGATTATACCTACTCTTCTTCCCAGGAAGGTTATGAGAATAAAATGACATAATGAAAAAGAAGGTAAAATAACTGTTAGCTATCTGCCCCAACCTTCCATAAGGTTACTAAGTCACACTCACAAATGTTTGAATTTGACTTCCGTTTCTTCTTTGGCACTGCTTCATTTCAGATCCTCTCTTTGTGCTTAAGTTCCTGAAGTGGACATTGTACTCCTGTTACTTCCTGTTAACTCTTATCTTAGTCTCTATTTTTCCTAGCTAGATAAAAGCTGTCTTTAACTCGGTGTCAGCTGATCTCTTTGCAAAATTAATAAACTATTTCTCATCTTTGTGGGCTTCTTACCTGAAAATCTCTCGTCATGCTCTTTTGCATCTCACGCCCACTAACCTTGGGGTTGAGCCACTCTAATTACCCTCAGGAGGCACTTCTCCCTCCATGGTGGTGCCGTCACCTCTGTTTAATGAATAATCTTGCCCCTCTTATTATCTTTGATTTTTATATTTATTTTGGTTTAGAAATGGACATTCCTTGAAGGCAAGAACTGTGCTTTCTGGAACATTCAGTGTATACATTAAACTCTACCCACAGAGTCATTAAAATCTGAGAATTGAGATTATTGTGCTAAAATACCAGTTTTTAAATGACAGTTCTCCCTTAATATAAAAATGACAGTTTGAATTTAAAATGTATTGCAGAGGAAATCTTAAAAGGAATTTCTTTCTAAAAGAACCCACTTTTAGAACTTTAGATTTCTTTGTCTGCAAAACGTAGTTTTACAAAGTAGTGTGGCCGTCTGCCCATTTCATCACACCAGTGTAGACGAGTCATAACCAAAGAGAGATGAGTGACCTCCCTAAAGCTCAGCATTTATTATGTCCTCCCCATTCATCCATTCAACAAGTACTTATCAGTCACCCACTGGCAATACAGTGGTGAGTCAGACAGCCTTGATCCCTGCCCTGATGGGGCTTAGGATGGGCCTGCAGTCTAGCTGAGAAGACATTCACCAAGTAATCGATAGAGTGTTGTGGAGGTTGTTGATTGGGCAAAACAAGATCGGGAACACATCTAAGAAGCCCTCATCCTAATCAAGGGGCCAGGGAACATTTCCCAAGGAGAAGTGGATATTTAAATGGAGACCTACAAGGTGTGTAGAGTTAGCCAGATAAAGGAAGGGCAGATAAAAGTGTTTCAAACCCAGAAATAACATAGATGAGGCTTCCTTGGAGGTACTAAAGAATTTCCATGTGGCCACGTGAATGTAGACTAGGGGGGAGAATGGTGAGGACAAAACCAGAGATAAGTAGCATCCTGTGGTCTAGTCCTGATGGGTCTCGTGATCGACAAAGGAATGCCACTAGACACAATGGGAGAAAGTAGACTGTTTAATGGCAAAGGATGTGGGAAGTTGGGGAGAGGGTCATTCAGATCGGGAAATAATACTGTGAGTTGTTCCCAGACGCCCGTGCAAGCTGCCCGCTTCCCGGGAAGTGATACCACCACAGAGTGAGCTCTTGTGCAGAGCTCCCTTTGCCATTCTTACCAGGCCTTCTCCCTGCCAGAGTGTCGTGGTTTCCACCTGCCTACCCCCTCGACAGGTGCAAGTCACAGAGGCAAGACTGCCTGAACATGTGGAATGTTTCTTGCGAGATGAGGACGCCAGTTGTTCACGAGCATCCCCCAGCAGGTCCAGCCACAGGACCTGCCTCGCGTCTCTTCCTGCAGCCCGGATTCTGTAGAGTGTGGACTTTGAAATGATATTTGTCTACACATGGGCCTTTATATTATAGCGCCACAGAGCCTTAACACATATGTCTTTTCGGGTCTTCAGGAAAGCTGACTCTGTGGTTTGGCTTTGTGAAGGTGAAAGTTTGTGTGGTCTGGTTTTAATCTTGTTCTACATTTTTGCTCATCATTTCTTAAGGATTTATGTTTTTATTAGGGCTTGCCAGATTTCTATTTATTATTAAAAATTCTCCCAGATTTATCATGGGACAGGTTAAACTAGGAAAGGAGGGACATTTTTTGTTTGCACAGGAGGGAAGGAGAAAATAAAGATGGGGTACTTAGGGTCTAGAAAGGAAGGAAAGTATAAAGGAGCCTTGTTCTTATTCGTAAAGTAGGAGGGGAGACTGTTTACTGAGATAAGTTGGAACTAGGGACTTGAGGACCAGAAAAGTTTGAGGCAGCTCTTGGGGGGACTATGCCAATGATCTTCGAGAGTGATGAATTATAGGCCCAGTGTGGAGGGCCAGTCCCCCAAAAAAGCACTATCAGTGCTTCCCATTCCTTGTTTCAAGTCCTTATTAACAAGGAACGTGCCCTAACATTTTAGATCCTTATGAGATCTCTTTAAGGGAAAAACCACAAATACAATAACCATAGACTCTTT